TAACAAGTACAAAAAACATTGAAATACCTGAATATAGTAAAAAATAAACTAATTAAGGATTAATAGTTACTATTAGACCCCGGTATAATAAGTGACAACACATGCAACAAGAAAAAACTGAAATTTGGTTATTATTACACCTTAAAAATTGTATTTCTGTTACTCGATTTTACATTGAAAAAGTTACAGTGAAGAAATTTGAAGCAAGTTCAAACCCCTAGTTACGGATGATATTAAACAAACTAAAACAGAGATAATGTTTAGGGTTGATGATATAAAAGGCTAGGGTTGATGGATTTACCTCCAAACTAAAACAGAGATAACGTTTGAACTTGATTCTTCAAAGACCTTCAGCTTCGAATGCGTTTTACACCAACTCGTCAAATGAAACAATAACAACAAACAGAACCATAAAATATAATGAAATCAAAGGATTTTGCAACATGTCCCTTCAATTTTGGTGAGGCAAATCGAATCTTTGAAGTTGGGCATTAGGGTTTTTTAATTTGAGAATTTTTAACTAACGGGGAGAATGAAAGTGTTAGTAAATAGTGGAAGACTATTATTTTTATTTACTGAACATTTTAATTACGTGGCTTCATAATAAAAGTGCGTGTTTCCCACTCAAGTTATTATAGTTGGGCCAGGGCTTAAGTGGGAGTAAATAAATAAAATTATTTTAACAATAGTGGGGTGTTAGGACACTTATAAAGTTTAAGTGTGTAAATGATTTTTCAGGATAAGTTAAATGAGGTCCTTATGCATTTTCTCAAAATAAAATCTTTGGTATTGTTCAATAATACTGAATATTTGCGAAGTAGTAAAACTGCAAGAATCATCCAATGTAATTAAGCTGATTTTCCGCATTTAATAAAACTATAGTATTAACTCAGTTTTGTCCATTATAATTGTTTGATCCCCTTTATTATTCTTTAAACTTAAAGATCTGAGAAATCTACGGAATGTATGCATACTGAAATATTAAATTATGAATGATATAAAAGACTCTCTTCATCCTTTTTGTTCGATTGCTCATATTACGAATGATATGCAATTATTTTTTCCTTTCCATTCTTTCCTTTGGAATCGGAAGGCTACAAGCTTCAACTTCTTTTGAATTTTTATGTATTGCATGTCAGAAATAATTATTTGTTTCATAAAAATTTCTCTGCTTATTTTCATTTAAAGTCGTTTATTGTAATCAATGATTTATTGTATGCTTTTATCGTTAATATGTTCTTAATATGTAAGTAAGTGATTCATTTGCTTTATTTTGCTTCTTCCACACCGATGTTCCAAGCCAAAAAAATAGAAATTTGCTTCCTGCTGGTTAAGAGTTGACGATGAATGTTGTTCCATCAAATTCTTTCAAAAGTTTCTTAAATTGAGAGGTTTCTTCCATGCTATTATATTTAACACTTGACATGTATTCATTACAGAGAATGAACTTCTGAATAGGGTGGTAACAGCACAAAGAGAAGCTTAATTGACCTAGCTGGTGATTATATAAGATATGACCATTCAGTGTCAGCGTCTGTTCGCCTTGTATGTTCTAAATTGCACTTTTCTCCTTAATGTCTGTGATCTTGAGCTTAAATTTTCTCGTGTTCATATCCGAAGGATGTAGTTGAGGTTTCTTAGAATAGTTCTCAGGATTTTTTCTTTTCTACATTCAGGACAAGAAGTTATGGCAATTGTTCCTGTCTTCTATGTTTTCAAATGAAATCGAACTCTCTACTTTGTGCGGATAGGAATTGAGACTTTCAATGGTCCGCTCTTCTCTCCTCGTGATCGAAGTCTTTTCTATAGTAAAAAATAAGTTATATCCATTGAGTGGACAAATAAAAAAAATGACCTTTTCTCCTGTAGTATAAGTAACATGTATTTTGCATGTATTTCTACCATGCAATGAACAACAGAAGAACTGATTGACAAATTCCAATTCAGAAATAAATGTAAGTAAAAAAATGAAATTGCTTTTACCTATAATATTATTGACAAACAATTGACCCTCTGACTGATAACAATTACCCTATGTAACAACATGAGGGAACTCACACAGGCATGGCATAATAGTCTAGCATCATATTGCAGAAGTCAATAAGTTGAAATACCGAGCTATTCCCTTGTCTCTATTGTTCTATTGGTACAAAGTTCAGATGGATTATAAGTGTGTAAGTTCTTGAACACAATAAGTAGGTGGTTGTTTCTCCTCTATTGAGCAATATCAATTATTCCGTTCCTCAATAAGATCAAAACCCACGAGGAGGAATGTTACATATAGGAAAAGTAGGAAGTGAAAGTGGAGTTCGTGACTGTCAAACATCTTGCAAGATGTAATATTTATATATCCATGTGTTTGGTAGGATACAAGAACTACATATTCCTATAATTCAAATTTAGTAGTTTTTTGTAAAAGCTATGCTGAGTGATATTTTTTAGATCATGATGATTCTATAAGAACTCTCTTTGTGTGTGCTGCTTGATATTAAGTTTGTACATGTTCTTGCTATCAGCCAATTCCCTTTTCTGATTCATATTGCATCTTTTATGGGAAGAATTTCTTATTTGCATCAACCATATTGCCTACTCAAGTATTTGACAATTTATCCATTTTGAGATGTAGGAATTAACATTAATCTATGAATACGAACGTGCATTGCCATGTTAGTGAAGTTGCTCTTAGGTGATTCAAAGTTTTTTGAACTTCAAAAGAATAGTATGTCTCCTGTATAGTGGGTATTGAAGTATATTAGCTTGCTTAGAATTACATTTCTGATATTATTGCTTTTGCAGCACAATGAGAAGTTATTTTTCATTGAAGATAATCATGTGCTATTACACAGAGTATGCTACTTGCTTATCTTTTGTTCCTTAGTTTCAAGTCATATCAATGAAAAGATCAAAGTGAACTCTGTAGAGATGCGTCAACTGTCTCTGATTTGATGTTTATTTTATTAATATAGTAAATGAAGTATACCTTCCTTCCATCCATTCTACATCCTGAAGATTAATTTGTATAAAGGTTAATGGCTTATGCAGATCAATCTATTCCATTATTGATATCAAATCATTTTTTGAAAGGACAATCACTTAAGAATATTAGTCATCTCGCTTTGCTTCCATCTAAACCATGTATTGTAGGACCGGCCACCACCAAGTCTTCGGGCAAAAGAAAAGAGTGGTCTAGATATTACTGAGTGTAGCAGAGTATGCAGTACCGACCTACAACAAGACATGGCTATGTAATAACAAGGTAGTCCTGCTTTGAGCAACAACAAGTGTGGAAGGGCACTGATCTTATGTCATTTTTTTACACTCACTGTAAAAGAAGAGCCATATTATACTCATGTTGGTTTATTTTGGATTTCAGTACCAAACTGTATAATTACTGTCACCACAACTGAAAAAAAATAATATGTTGGGCCTGTGCATAGCACGGACATCATCCTTCTAGTACTTAATTTATTGTAAAAATAGAAATATATTAACTAGAAGTGTTAGTTACCTTTGGGACGATATTCAAAGTTTGATTGCCATTTGAAATATAATTTAGAAATCTTCGCTTTTCACCTTTGTGTTGGAGTTCGAAAACTCCCTGTATGCCAAGATGAAGTTTCAAACTTTTATGTGAAAAAATCAAAATTATCATTTGGAATTTTGATTGTCAAAGGATCTCATATAAACATATCTATAAAATGAGGAGTAGCAATAAAAATTATTAATTATAAAATTGCATGCGAGTTAAAAAATATCAACTCATTAACTTAGTTTTGTTCTATCGAATATTAACTTAAAATCATGTGCAAAAACCAAGTGAGTAATCACGTCACAAATTCGCTCATTCGAGACATCAAAGAGTATGTTAAGCCATTCATATTATACCTACAAGGCTACAACCAAGGGCGGATTCACAGCCCAAAGTATGGTACACGTGAACCATGTTCGCAACTTGGCTTGCTTCACTAAAACCGTGCTTCAGAGTAATATTTTCTTGATCCTTTACTTTTTTTTAATTCTTCTACCTTTTCCATAATTCTCTAGGGAAATCTTATTAATCCCATTCGCATTGTGTTTCATTTCTTAGTTGCTCATGTATGACTTGTGACACTAGATCTGAGGTTAGTTGTATTAAATTTTACGTTTTTACTTCACTATTTATAAGTCAATCTTCTGATCTTTCCGTCAAACTAGATATTTTATGTATATATATTTTTAGGGTTGATCTAATATTATCTACTGGCTCCATGCTCCAAAAAGGTTAAATAATACATTTGGTTGAATGTTGAGTTATTTACGTAAAGGAATATAGATTGATACCCACTTAATACTTTTTTTAATCCTTTTTTAGTAGTGGTGCACCCATAGTTCCATTTCCGCCAAACCTAATAGTTTTAAATCTCGAGCCTATAAGCTTCAAATCATGATTCGCTTCTGCCTACAACTTTGTTTAATAATATGGTGAGACAAAACTAAACAAGACGTATATTTCATTCTCACCTAATTGAAATTTATTTCTCTTGGTATGTCCCTTGCTCTACTTATTTAATTTCAGTAGAAAATGAAATTTTAACGTAGTCTCCCTGGCTGAATACATAGTGACTTTTATCAATTGGGACCCACCCAACTTAAGAAAATGGCCAATTGGCAATGGTAGAAAACCAAACACGAAAGTGACGAAAAAGCTTCCACTCTTGCAGTCCGCTCTCTCTCACGCTCTTCTTTCTATTTTAATAAATAAAAAAAAAGCAAACGATTCTTTTCCCCAATCCCTAACCATCTTTTTTTTTTTTTAAAAATAATCCATTAATGATAATTATAAAAAAAAAACTAGATAAACATAAAATATTATTTCCTCGAGGAAAGAATTGAATTCCCTCGCTTGCTTGTATTTAATTAATGGAGTAATTAATTAGTCGCTTACTATGTCTATATGGGTTAGGCTAACAAATTCCAAATGAATAAAACGGAACGGCTATATTAAAAGGGTAATTTGAAATACAAAATTCCTTGCTTTACGCACTCTCTCTCTCTCTTCTTCTCATTCCATATATGTGACTTGCTTTGTTTCTTTTCTATATATAAATAAAAGTCTTATTAGGGGAATTGTTGGATTGAAAGAAGGGAGGATGGCGAATATAGGGATAATGGATAGTGCATATTTTGTTGGGAGGAATGAATTGTTGTCTTGGATCAATGCCAGGCTTCACCTTAATCTCACTCGCATTGAAGAGGTACGTACGGTACCCCCCATTTCTCATTATCTTTCTTGTTTTGCATTATCAAATGTGTTTTGAGTGATTTTCCAGTTTTTTTGGGTATGCACTTTTTTGTTAATCTGTTCTAGGTTGTAATATTATTTGGATTTTCTTTAGAATTCTGGGTAATGAAATAATAATGTCTCACGTTCACCTCTTGAGAAATTGTGCTTTTCCTCAAACTTTCCTTCAGTTTTGGAATTATCCCTCAATTGTGCATGAGAGTTGGGTGATACGATCCAAATAGAGCGAATTGGATATTTGATATTCATATAGCGACTCAGCTGGTTAAATTGAGGCATAGTTGTTGATGCATTTTGGGGAAATTAGATTTAAATATGGTCATATGAGAAAAGTGTCCAATCAAATTGAAATGGTCAAGGAAATAGATTAAATTGTTAATTGGTGTTCACATTCTCCTTTCAAATTGATGGTACTAGATAAGCACAAATGCCTATATGATTTATTTGTGAAGTGGGGCTGAGCTAGTATTACAGTAGCTTTAAAAGTTCTAGATTGAATTTTTTAATGAGTGGAAAAGATTAGCCAACATTTTAGCAACTTTCGTATGTCCAGTTACTTAACTTGTAAGCATTACAGGGGATACGGTATAGTTAGCACAATTGATAATTACCTTTAAGAATGTTGATGATTCTGTTTCTCCTCTAATGCTTTAATTACATATTTGAATTACAAAATTATTATGCTAGGCTGCATCTGGGGCTGTGCAGTGTCAAATGATGGACATGACCTATCCTGGAGCTGTTCCAATGCATAAGGTGATTACTGCCATGCGATGTTCTGGTGGTCCTATTTTGAACATGTTTGATTTGTTGTGGCATCTCTGATGGAGCATATTTTGTTACAGGTCAACTTTGATGCAAAGACTGAATATGACATGATCCAGAATTACAAAGTGTTGCAAGATGTTTTCAACAAGCTCAAAATTGACAAGGTAACTTCTTACAAATCACATTTCAAGTTTTATGTGGACTTCTTTAGTGAAACAGTTTTGATCCCTTCTTTCCATGTACAAACCTCTCGGAGCAGAGGGGGATTGTTCTTTTGAATTTTATCATTGTCGTAGTGCAGTTTAATCTTTCAACATAATTTTCTCACCTAGCTTTCACTTTTCTGTATTTAGCACTTTGGATCGTGCTGACGCTTTTCTTATCTCTGAATTACAAATAAATAAAATAGATCCAAGGGTAATAAAGAAACTTTTGAGGACATGATTCCTTTTATATTTTCCCTTCTGTATTACCTGCACAGCTTCCTTTTTAATGAAGTATTCAGCAGTCAAGAGAAAGCCTTCATAAAACAAAATAACCTGCTGTTGAGACCTGAGTGGAACTACATGGTTTTCTTTTTGGTCATATTTATAGTTGGTTTCCAATTTGCTTGCAGCATATTGAAGTTAACAGGCTTGTTAAGGGCCGTCCTTTGGATAACTTGGAGTTTCTGCAGTGGCTGAAACGTTACTGCGAGTCTGTAAATGGTGGCATTATGAATGAGTATGTGCTTCTTCTCAAATACTCAAGTGTTTTGTTGCTTCTAGAAGTTAGATGCCAAATTCTCCTTTAATTATCTCTCCTTTCTTGTACGTTTGCAGGAATTATAATGCTCTGGAACGCAGAAGCAAGGGTGGGAAGGAACGAAATGTGAAGGGTTCTCAGAGATATGCAAAGTCACTGCAAACAAACAACTGTCATAACCCTGGATTAGGGGAAGGCATTACTAAGATTACAGGTTAGCGACAGTGATATTTTCCTTATTATATGCAGGGTAAGGCTGCGTACTATAGATCCTTGTGGTACGGCCCTTCCCCGGACCCTGCGCATAGCGGGAGCTTTGTGCACCGGACTGCCCTTTTTTTATTCTCTGTAGTGATGCTTTTCTTAAACTATGTTTTTTTTTCTAGGAATAAAACAAGGAAGGTCAAGTCCAGTAATGGGTGGGGTTAATTCTTCAGCAGAGATTCAAGCTTTGTCAAAGGAGGTAAGTCTTATACTTGTGTGAAGTTGGATGGTGTAAAACCTATTGCTTATGGTTCAGCAGATTGATTGAGTGAATGAATAATTGCCTGTTCCAACGTCCAGGCATTATTAAGCTTGATTGAAGCCAGCTTAAATTCAATCACAGTACATGCTTCTGGATGGTCAAAGATACTCCTATTTAAAAGGATCTTGCAGAACTGTTCTGAACTACATCCGAAGCTAAGGATATGGTTTGCTTAAGTATTAGGGGATCATGTCTGCTGCTGTTGGTTTTACTTTTTTTCTTTCTTTCTTTTTGACATTAGGTTCGGTGTTTGTCAAAAGTCTGTTATGTTTGGTTTAGAGATTATATGACAGTGTAAGGATATGTCAAGATTTAAAGAATTCCCAGTTTAATAGAATCTCTAATTTGTCCTAAAAGATAAGTAATTGAGTAGTGGAAAGAAACAACCCGAAATGGAGTGGAATGGATATTGCTGATTCTCAACCAATCCCAACTATACCAGGATTGTGGTATTGTCACGACCCAATTTCCCCTCCGTATGACGTCGTGACGGCACCTAGTCTCTACGACTAGGTAAGCCTAACATTTGCGGAATAATGAAATGAAAACATAAATTTAACAACTAACTGTAGCAGTAACAACATAACTGGGTACCATGTCGCCTGGCATGTATAATAACCAACTATTCAAAATACACATAAATCCCAAAACCCAAAACATCGTGAATTACAAACTACAGAAGGAAAGTCTAGTGTCTCTATACATCAGAGTCTAACAAAGGAAAAATACAGAAGATAATGGACATGGGAAAGAGTAGAAGGGGACTCCGAGGTCTGCGGACGCGACAGATATAACTTGAAGTCTCCAAAGCTGTCCCGGCTCACTAATAGCATGGCTGATAAGGAGCACCTGGATCTGCACACGAAAAACATGTGCAGAGAGTAGCATGAGTACACCATAATCGGTACCCAGTAAGTGTCAAGCCTAACCTCGGTCGGGTAGTGACGAGGTCAGGTCAGGGCCCTATTGGTATATATATATATATAATAAAAACAAGGTAGAATGAAATACCCCAGTAAAATAAAGACTGAAATTTAACAGGAATGAAATCATAGAAGACAACAACTCAGTACACAGAGATAACAACAGGGGATCTCCCGAGATACCGTCTCGTAGTCCCAAACGTAAATGTGTAGTACAGGGGGATCTCCCGGAATACCTTTCCGTAGTTCCAAAGTAAATATGCAGTACATGGGGATCTCCCGGAATACCGTTCCGGAGTCCCAAAGTAAATATGCAGTACATGGGGATCTCCCGGAATACCGTTCCGTAGTCCCAAAGTAAATATGCAGTACAGAGGATCTCCCGGAATACCGTTCTGTAGTCCCAAAAGTAAATATGCAGCTCAAACAATAGAATTAACAGCTACAACACGAAATCCTACAGTTTAGACAAAGTACAAGTCAAGGAAAAGCAGGAATTTCACTAAACATGTTGCACGGAGTTCAGATAAGCAATTAAGGCAAGTAGATATGCTATTCTAAGCTAACAGGATACTACACATGCTGATGTAACTCAAATAAGAAGGAAACATGTTATTACTTAGCAGAAATCGGGTTTTTACAACAATTAGCCCGTGTACGTACTCGTCACCTCACGTGCACGGCGCTCACATATCAAAACAGTACCAAATCCTAAGGGGATTTCCCCCGCACAAGGTTAGGCAAGCCATTTACCTCGAACCAAGCTCAATCAATCGGTCACAATGCCTTTCCCACGAATATCCGGCTCCGAATGGCCCAAATCTAGCCAAAAGTAATTACATATCATAAATACAACCATAATAGACTTATTTAACTAATGAAATCAGTACTTTAACAAAAATTACGAAATTCGCCCTAAAAAGTCGACCCGGGCTCACGTCTCGGAATCAGGCAAAAATTACAAAATCTGAAAGCCCATTCACTCACGAGTCCAACCATACCAAATTTATCAAAATCCGACCTCAAATGGCCACTCAAAACCCCAAATCAAATTCTTCAAATCTCTAGCCTCCAACTCCCAATTTCCACCTTAAATACACACTAATTAGGTGGGAAAATAAATGGGGAAGCAAGATTATTGATCAAAAATAAGCACAAGGGACTTACCTCAAGAAGCCCCTCAAAATGCTCCCAAGAAATTGCCAAACCCGAGTTCAAAATGTTGAAAATGAGCAAAAATCGCGAACCTTTGTATTTAAGTGTTCTGTCCAGAAATCTCGCACCTGCGTACTCTCTGTCGCATCTGCGACGCCGCACCTGCGACGCCGCACCTGCGGAAATGCCATCGCAGGTGCGGATTCCACTTAGAATCCCAGGTTCCGCTCCTGCGGCTATGCGACAGCATCTGCGACTATCGCAAGTGCGGAAATGCATCGCACCTGCGGTTCCTGCCCAGCTCCTTCTTGGCCGCATCTGCGTCTCCTCCTTCGCACATGCGATCCCGCACCTGCGGTCTCCCCTCTGCAGGTGCGAAAACACCAGAAATCAGAAAATCTTCAGCAACTAGCCTAAATCCAAATTCAATCCGTTAAGCATCCGAAACACACCCGAGGCCCCCGGGACCTCAACCAAACATACCAACAAGTCCTAAAACACCATACAAACTTAGTCGCGCCCTCAAATCACATCAAACAACCCTAAAAACACGAATCACCCTCCGATTCAAACTTAATGAACTTGAAACTTTAAACTTCTACAACCGATGTCGAAACCTATCAAATCACGTCCGATTGACCCCAAATTTTGTACACAAGTCGTATTCAACATTACGGACCTACTCCAACTTCCGGAATCGGAATCCGACCCCAGTATCAAAAAGTCGACTACCGGTCAAAATCTTCAAAAATTCGACTTTCGCCAGTTCAAGCCTAAATGAGCTACAGACCTCCAAAACACAATCCGGACACGCCCCTAAGTCCAAAATCACCCAACGGAGCTAACAGAACCGACGAAACTCCATTCTGGAGTCGTCTTCACACAGTTCCGACTACGGTCAAAATCCTAATACTTAAGCTTCCTTTTTAGGGACTAAGTGTCCCAAAACACTCCGAAACCAAAAAACAAAACCTCCCGACAAGTCACATAAGCATAAAAAGATACGGGGGGAAACAGTAAATAGGGAATCGGGGCTATTACTCTCAAAACGACCGGCCGGGTCGTCACAGGTATAGTTGTTATTACTGTTTTTTTTTTCTCTTTCTGTGATAAGTATATACTCCTGTGATTATATTATATAACTCTCAATTGCTACTTTTCCTGCTGTCAACTCACTGTTTTAGTTGCCTGGTGGTACTTCGACTGCTTGCTACTCATATTTTAACCATCCAGGTTACAGATCTCAAGCTCTCTGTTGACCACTTGGAAAAAGAAAGAGATTTTTATTTCGCAAAGTTACGAGATATTGAGATACTCTGTCAGACTCCAGAATTAGATAATGTCCCGGTAAGCTCTTCTCTCCCACATCTCTACCAAAAGAATGCTCATGATGTAGCTACCCAGCTACCCTTCTTGTTGATTCATCTATACTTGTGCATGTTTTACGAGTCATCTAATCAATGTGCTGGGGCTTATGACATTTCACAGATGGCTGCCGCAGTAAAAAAGATATTATATGCTGCTGATGCAAGAGAATCAGCATTGGCAGAAGCTCAAGAATTTCTAAGTGAATCTGTGGATGGAAGTGAAGGCTGAACTGGAAGTGGAAGATAAGTAAGAATTGCTTGCAGTAGTTTCTTAAATGTAGTGGGTTGCCATCGTTTGGTGAAAAGTTGCCAGTCTTCTGCTTTATACGTCCATGTTTTTTTTTGGGTGCCATATGAACAATCTGTCTCCAGTGTTTAGTTGATGGAGATATCTCCAGTGAAGCGAAATTTGTATTTGGATGTCTAGTGATCATAATTAGTCAACTTTAATTGAAAGATACATATCTTCCACAAAATAAATACAGTCAGCGATTTGGAAATGGGAGAGGAAGAAAAGGAAAAAAGAAAGAAAGAGAAGTACAAGATCTTTTTCCTTTGTTTGATTAATTTCAAAAGGAACAGAAAAAGAAGCTGGAGAACGGGGCAAATCCAAATTTACTTCTATTTTCCCTCGTCTTTTCCCCTCCGATTTTCTCCTCCCTTTCTTTTGTTAGTTTTCAAATTTCAAGAGCAGGGGGTTTTCTTAACTTTTCCCTTTTTGGGGGAGGTCTAGGGAGATGAAGGGAAATAAAAGCTCGATCGAGCTTTAAAAGGGGAAGTCTAGCAGATGAAAAAAATTGATGAAAATCGAACCTTAATTTTTCTGGACAAGCTAAGAGCTTTAATACTGAACTGCAATGACCTTTACGGTGACATATTTCTTTTTCTTTCATTTTTTTAAATATTATATTGTGTAAGTTATTAGAGATATTATAACGATCTAAAAATAAGATAATCTTATCATTTTGCATCTTTATAGTATTTTATTTCATTAATTTCCCCATAGACCTCTCTATCTAAAGAAATACATAAATACACTAGACAATGATTACCACAGTGCCCTTTCCTAGAACTAGAATATACATCCATAATAATACAGTAGGTAGTTGTAAATTCATACATTGTCAGTTTGTCACTTATATATGTAGAGAAAGAATTTATGCAGTTGAATTACTTGTGTTGCAGTAGAGATAGATTACACCAATCTTCTGACCGTTAGCCAAAACTATATAAGTTTTGCTAGTTGAACTGTGATGTCTTCAGCAAGAAAAAAACTTGCCAATGTAAAGAAGTTGGAAATGGGCATAAAGCAGAAAACAAGATGCACTCATTGTCATTACGCTGATGCCTGATGCCTGATGCTTGTTATCATGTGATTCCACATGAAATTCTGACAGTCCCATAGGAATTAGGATAAAAAATATTCCAAAGATAAAAGTGGACATATTAGCACAATGACAACATTAATTGAAGAAGACTTCACCTTACCATTATGCTCCAATAAAAAAGCTAGGCCTCGTGAGGTGCGGCATTCTTCATGAGCCCGCACAAATATATCATCCTCCATGGCCATGCGCCCATGCCAGTTACGGAACAAGTTTGAAAGGTGAACCTAATGATTTAAAAGAAGCAAATGAGTGGACCAGTAAAATTACTAATGAGGTTAAAAGGATTTGATCGAGAATGCAGTCAAAAAAACAACGAATATCTTTGAAGAGTATGGTAAACTTCGCATCTAACAAAATAGAAAAACACAAATGTGAATCCGCTTCACTTCTTCTGCATATAACAAAATTAAGAATGCAGTCTACATATATTCCTACTTGATTCATGTAGGTACTTGAAAGAATGAACGCAGGTTGCTCTCAGAATTTATAAATCCAAAACTTCTGGCCTATAAGTGCTGTGTACCTTTAGTTTTTCAAAACACAATTATAAGGCCCTTTTTCTCTCTTTTTTTCTTTTTGCATAATGGTATAAGTAATATTTACATCACTAATTGGTATTATGAGTAGCCATCTATTGATTTGGTAAAAACTTATCATACATAAAAAGCAGTTCGAATTTCTCTTATATACTAATTCTTCAATTTTTATAAAAGCATTCGAAGCCACCACAATACCACATATTCATTTTATTTAACACCGCTCTTTCTGATTAGCGAGATGTGAAAAGTACAACCATTTTAAGCTGGGAACTAGACTCGGAGATGCTGACGGCTAAATGAAGCGCACGGGTAAACAACACGATAAACAGTGAAATCTACTGGATTAAATTCTTTTCATACATTTGATCAAAATACTCGTTAGTGTTGAAATATCCTCGTACTTTTTTTACAAAACTGGGAGGAGAATGGCATGAAGGAGCGGGAGGTGGGAAACAAGAGATAGCTGGATGTATTCAAACGAGGAAGTACGTATCAGACTGTTTGATTACTATCGCGATTTTCATTTTCCTTTCACTTATTCATAGAAACAGCAGCAGTCCGTTCATCCTAATGTGTACGAAGGATATGAGTTTCACTCTATATGCAAAATTGAATGTACACTTTCTGATAGAGAGATAGCTTCTTTAGGATCACATTAGTTGTACGGGTAATAAGACTCCTTCCTTGAATCAGTGGCGTGCATCTCATATTTTCACGACTGATACGCTTTCCGAGACATTGATGATATTTACAGCTGCACATACACAGAGATGCATATAACATCCATACCCGAAGCAAACTCCATCCAGATTATAACCAACCACTTTTTTTAAGCATAACTGACCACTCACTGATACAGAAGTTAAATCAGTAGATAATTCATCTTGAAACCTACCATAAATCTTCAGTGGTCTGCAGATAACTGCAAAAAGAATAGGAGTGATGAAATCCTAGCTGGTTGCTTTACTCCTTCCAGAAACAAGGTTCAAGGCATTGTAGGTGTCATCAGTGAGATCAGATGTTCTGCAGAAGCATCCCGAGGTGCTTTTGCAGTGGTGCCCTTTACCTAGCAGAGGATCCAGAAAAAAAGAAGACAATAATAAGAATGCTTCAATGAATAGTAGTTATGACCGAAAATAAGGATAGTGACCTATAAGGGGGATGAAAGTTGTCCCAAGTGTAAACTAAGTCCTCTGTGGAATGAATAAAAGCAGGAGCTATCCACAATCTGCTCATGAATTTTGGAGAGAATAATTCCAGATGCAGGGCTTAAGAGGGTGTTTTCCAAAGTCCACGAGCACACAGGCATGTAATGCATCATTTAAAGGATCATGCAAGTGTATCTTATGTTCCTCTTACATATCTCCATTATCTGCAGTTTGTAACCACAACCTATTTTGTGAAGTTTCTTGAGATAAAATCATTATGGGGCAAGCTGCAACGACTAGATTTCCACTCTAAGAACATAACATTAGAAAATAGGGAAAATATAGCTTCGCTAGAGTAACTGAACTGGAATATAATCTAGTAGCTTTGTTATCAGTTCTAATAGCTGCGATTATTATTTCTCTTGGGCACTTATTTGCCTTCGCATTTCATTACTATCAATACCACATATCTCTTACATAGATCTTTTTGTTTCTCCTTTCTTCTTTCTCCCTGCTAAAGTTAAATGCTAAAACTATTTATCAGGTACTTAATTTGAGTTGTTTTCTCACAAGGCTTTTGTGTTCAGACTTTGGACACATAAAAGATGCGGCTGGATGTATTGATAAACAACTAAAAACTGAATGCTGATTTCTTTGTAAACAGAGAATTTTAACAGGATATTTCGGATTCAGATCTGATTGATAATTAGTACACTTTAATGGATAATATAAACATTTTCAATTAACTGCAGAACGTAACTAAAGATGTAATGGAATATATAGGACAACGAATATGTACCTGCATCATTAGAGTTTTGATGACTTCCTTTGCAGCATTGTTTTTCTCTGTTTCGGTTCTAGCTTGTTCAGTTTTCTCTTGAAGTTGCCTTGATTTCTTCTCAAGCTCAGCCTCTAAGAAAACAGATCTCTGGGTGAGAATCTCTACCTGCATGGGTTATATCTCAGGTCCAATAGAGCACGCACAGATCAACTTATACTACAGATTTCTTTGTTTGAAAGGAGAAGTAACACTGCATACGATGTAGTTAGTTTAAGCTGGCTGCTGTTTCTAATCAGTTGGTCGTTGGACTATTTCAAGAAAACCCTTTGCAAGACAAATACCAGAATCTAGTGCAATAGGTAGAGCTATGCTATAATAGAAACCACAGCAACACAATCTTTCTCAGCGGAATGTAGGATATTGTGCATGAAAAACTATTTTGGACCAATCAGGACTACTAAAACAAAGTTTTTTCTTGAGATAATATTGTTTTCATCTGTTATCCTGTTGTTCCAACTATTGTAAAATTGTTTCCACAAATAGAAGGCTCGTCCAAAAAAGACGTCACTTTGAAGTCACTTATCCAAAAAGCTATTTACGCATCTATTTGACATTCTCTTAGGAGTTAATGATATATACCTGCAGTTTGATTATAAAAATACAAGAAGAGTTGGATTAGTAGTTAATTGGTATAGAACTCTAGAGACTCAGTATTTTGACAATTCAAAGGTAATTTCAATCAAATCAGAATAAAGGATTAAGTCGCTGATCCAATTAGTGACTTCTATCTAACGTGACTCCTTTTCAAAATCTCTTTTGGAACACTTTGAGAACAGCTCAAATTATGGAATTATGGGTGAAAACAGTATTAGCTCAAGAAAAATTTCTAAAACAAAAGATGATTTAACAATAAGACGGGATAGCAGAGCAGTAAACTGGAAAGTGTACAGAAAGAATGTTAACAGAAGGCCAGGTCTCTTAAATAGTAGACGCAATATGGAAGAGACAAGAAAAGTTGATGCAGGATAAATGTTCTAAAAATCTCCAGTCTTTATGGTTATACTAACAATACAATAAGTCTGATGAAGGGAATGACAAAGTAACATCTTCATGAAATGAAACCAAGAAGAATTCTGAAATTGAAAAATCTACACGTAATTACAACCAAACTTTTGAATGAATACATAATTAGTCAACAAGTAACAGCAACCTTGTGAAACCGAACCAGGATATCCTAGGTGCGAATAACTAACTGTCAACCACATGCAGCCTGACCCCAATATATACTTCTTTTGTTCTTTTTTCCTTCATTGTACTAGTGAGTGATGCTTCCACTAATTTCCATAACAAGTGTCAAAGCCATACCATATGCTTCCTAATGTTATTAGTAATTCTAACACATAGAAGAAACAAAAATAAGTGATAAGTAATTCTTGTTAAATGGACCTTGGGCCTAACTCAACACCAAAAGGTAGCTCATGAGGTGAGGATTGCCCAAGCCATATTAAGGAGACCACCCATCCCTTAAAGCACCGATGTGGGACTCTTCACACCCCTCACGCCCAGGGCTGGACATCTGGAGCGTGGACAATTTAATATGGGGGCCCAATATCGGGAAACGAGAATTGAGATAGGTCCTGCTCTGGTACCATGTTAAATGGACCTTGAGTCTAACTCAACACTAAAAGCTAGCTTATGAGGTGAGAATTGCCCAAGCCATATTAAGGAGACCACCCATCCCTTAAAGCACCAATGTGGTACTCTTCAATTCTGATATTCTAATATTAGACGTATGTTTTCTACTTCAATGATTCTTTTAGTCATGACAGGATGTAGCAAAGCTTGACAAAAAGAATCTTGACCATTTTTACCTGCTCCTTCAATATTGAAATTTCTTTTTTCAGACTTTCACTTGTTTGCTTTGAATCATCAAGATCCACTTCGTGATATGCTTGTGCAGCAATAGCAGATCTCAGTGACACAGAATAAGATGAACTTGATTCCAAAGAAGCAGGAGAGCCAGCTTGAGAATGACTTGTTGATCCAACAAAAGAAACAGACAATTTCTCAGGGCAATCAGAAAAAGACATCAATGGGCTTGATGTTTGAGATAATTCACACTGAGTATTGCCATTGGAAACTGGAGAGACATGGTCAGAGTTTGAATCTTGCTTCTGGTTCTTTTTAGGATGTTGATTGTCAGACTGCTTGAATGAATTGAATGAGGACAGCCTAGACAGAAGGCCTTTTTGTTTGGAAGGCAAGGTCTCTTTCACCTTCTCTCCGGTATTCTTCTGTAAGCTTCCATTGGTGGCCTTCGGTGGTAGACACGTCAATCCAGTCTCCAAGCCCTTGTTCAATTTAGCAAAACAATCTTCACACACACGATAAGGTTTGTTCATTTTTGGAGCCAAAGAAGCTTTTACAGATCTTTTACTGGTGCACACTTTGCAAAAGACAAGCCCACAGTTGTAGCAGTTATGACGTTTTCGTCTGAGATTAAATGGACTCTGGCATCCAGCACAAATGGAATTATTAGCAACAGACACTTCTCTGTGTAGACAAATGGCAGCAGTAAAATTATTTCCACAGACCACATGCTTTATTTGTTTTGCTTTCAGCGCTTCAACCAGTGTAGGAGTGTTCCTATCACGATTGTCCCCATGTCCTAGCTGACCATTTCCTCCTTTTCCCCACGTGTAAAGCTGAGAGTTTGAGCTCAAGGCCACAACATGGAAAGAGCCACAAGCTATTTCTTCGATGAAACAATTTGTAATTTTTCCTTGAACACGAGAAGGGAACTTTCCATTGCTTCCAGGAATTCCTAGTTGCCCATAATCAGCTTTCCCCATTGTATATACTTGTCCTGATGTTGTCAGAGCAACTGTAATGCTATGGCCACAGACTACTCTACAGAAGTTAATGTCATCTAACTGTAAAATGTTGCATGGAGCGAGTCTAGAAGCATTATCTCCATGTCCAAGTTGTCCATCATCGCCATTTCCCCAGGTGAAAAGCTTCCGAGGTGGGGAGTTACTAGAACCAGAATCCTCAAAAGAGAGCTCTACCACGGCTGCAGTGTGCCAGTGCCCACAGGACACTGTAGCTGTTCTTCGTCCTTGTAGAGTTTCAACTTCCCTAGGAATGCTAGTGCTACTACGATCCCCATGACCTAGAGCACCAAAAGTTCCATCACCAAAAGTAAAAAGTTGGCCAACTGATGTTATAGCAGCCGAATGCCAAGGACCACAAGAGACATATGAGACATGCTTACCAACCAAAGGACCCTTTACTTTTTTGGGGGTCCAGTGACTGATTCCAGTATCATGCCCAAGGAGGCCAAAGTTAAAGGTACCCTCACCCCATGTATAGAGATCTCCACTGATTGTTGTGGCACAAGTATGATAATCTCCGCATGCTGCTGATGTAACATTCAACCCACAGAGAGTGTCAATAAGTTTTGGGCTAGAAACATCAGATTCTACTCCATGCCCTAGTCTGCCACCTGACCCCTCTCCCCAACTAAGGATCTCTCCTTGCTTTGTGATTAGTACAGCATGTGTGCTTCCACAAGCAATATATTGAGCATCAAGTAGTAAAGCTGATTCCAAGATCTTAGGCAAAGGTGAATCCCTTCTTACAGCTTCAAAGTTTCCACGTCCACATATCCCACCACCAAGCAGGCCATCACCAATTCCTTCTCCCCATATTAAAATGTCACAAAGGGTATCAATATTTGCGGAAGAAGATCCCTGGCTAGATGAACTAATGGCACTAGAGAAACTAAATCGGATAGTATCCGCAGAGCTCCGCCCATTTTCATCATCTAAGGTTCCGTATGATCTTGAGTCGAGGGAACAAGCGGCAAACTCTCTTTGGGAAGAACATTGTGCGGCTGCATTATAGAGTAAAAAGTCAGAGAATGCTCTTTCTAATCTCTTTTTTGGGGGACTCTGAGATGGAACTGAAACCAATTGATTTTTCTTTGGATCCTGTCACGAGAACAGGAAAAGAGTCAAGATCATAAATCAATCAACTTAACAAGAAAAGCACAGTAAGTACCTCATAGGGTGTACTGCTGCTTCCACTACTACTTGACAAAGCGGAGTGAGAACTTCGTTGTGTCACAGTAGTTGAACCTTCAGAAGATGTGGCATCATGTCTTATATCGCTTGTCCACTTTTGACAGTTAACCCAAGATATCAAAGCCCTGAGAGCAACAAACCAGACTTCTGCCTCTTCCTTATCTTTGCAGATCTGCCGAAGAATTCAGTTTTTTGTTGCTATCATCTAAAATTATAAAATTCTTCTGGAAATCTTCATTTTTGTACTAATAATAATGGAGTCTATTAAAATCACGGTATTCCGGGTCCGCCTATTTTCTTAACTCTGAGATTACTAGTCCATATACTTGGAAAATACATAACACATGCTTTAATGATGATCTTTGTGGAAACCTATGTTGCTCGGACTGTTCAAATCCCTGTTGCACCCGTGTTGATTCGACATAGGTATAGGTGTGGATGTGAGATCCACACCGGATTTTGTCACCTTGAGTGCTTTGACTACATCTAGGACCAAGAAGTGTAGATTGATTGGCATTTGGTCTAATTTATATGTATAGTTATATAAAGTATGTTTACACTTAGCTATTACATGAGATATCTTTTGAATAAAATATTAGGTGTTTATAAAGAATTAAAAGTTTATTAGTTTTGGTTCAATAACTTTAATTAATCGAAATATATATTTATATATGTCGTATATACATGTATTGACCTTATCCTAGCATCCGCATCCGCAGTCGGATTCATACCCCCAAATATTAAAATTAAATTGATGAAGAATCTGACCTCTAGATCGGCACCCGTATTGGGTACCCGCACGAGTCCGAGCAACATAGGTGGAAACCATATCTAAACAGTAATGAGCATTAACTTTGTTCCGGGACGGAGGTTTATATTGTCCTGCTTCATTAACCCATTTAGTCTATGGAATTGAAAGAATGGCAATTCTCACTCCATATGAAGGGTACAAGCATCTGCATCTCTATAATATCAGTGAAGTACGATATGCAAGTACAAAGTTATCCACTTTCTTAAATATTGTATATCAACCAATAAAATGAGCAGCTAGTAAAATCTACAACATATTATTCCAAGCAAGCATAGGACTCAAAGTTCATATATCATGAAAATACAGATGAACTGCAGACTGAGCCACAGGTGTTCATTGTCTATGTCCGAGGCAAAGTTATAGCAAATATAGCCACTTCATGGAAGAATGAAGACTGGCTAATTGTGGACCAACATAGGAAATGTCTCCTATATGCAATTATGCATAATAATACAATTTCCAATTTTCTTCCATTTCCTCATACTACTTGCATAGGTTATTTCACAGATTTACTAAAACAAAAAGGCAACTAAGGTATGAAATAAAAATGCATAGCTGGGAATTTTTAACCTCAAAAGATAACAACATTTTAAAAAAAATACTTGTATACATGTGAAATGCATCCAAAAAGCTATCTATTAATCAATCAATTAACTATGGCTCAATATTCAGGCCCATTTCATCCCAGTACTAACTAATCTTTCTTAAGGAAAAAAATTAGGGGTTTTCTAGATCTCAACTTACTAGTACAAGGTAATTACTAATTATTTTATATCTCAACTGGTTGGTGACAATTTGCTACTCAAAAAGCAATTTGTGAGTGAAGGAATGCAATTTATGCAAGTGCTTAAACTTGGAAGGGAGTGTGACATGCTGTTAAAGACTGTAAATGTTACTTACCAAATCCAAGGAACTTTTGCCATATAGAAGTGAAAATGACTGATATTCCTTCTCAGGTCTAGGAAACCGCTGAAAAATTGCCTACAATTCATTTGAGATAGAAAATGCAATCAATTGCAAATGCTGGTTAGTATGGAATTTGATATGCATGATCTTGATAGCATAAGGCTTACAGTTCGTTGACCGGGAATAATCCTTGAAACCTGACTCAATTGAAGCTGTTTCTCCTCCTTGTCAACATACCATATCAGTCTTGTCTCATCCTGAAATTTAGCCATGAGAAGCAGTTGATGGATGATACTTCAGAGGATACCCCTTCTTTGAAGCAGAGAAATAGGACCCTTATATGTAAAAGTGTGTATGTGTGTGCACGTGGGGGGGGGATTGTCAGACCTAAAAGTTTGAACAAATGATTTAAAATAAACTTTGACCATGAACACTACATACCTCATATCCAGGATGGACCCTCTGAATTACATA